AAATAAAATTAATCATTTCATCAAACAAATATTTCTCTCTTCCTCTCTCTCTCCTCCTCTCTCTATGTCTTTCTCTCTTTCTCTTTTTAGTTATACAATCAAACTTCTAATGAATAAAAAAGGAAAAAAAATTGTTGAGCAGTAAGGAGGAAAAAAAGCCAATGAATCAATGGAAAGAAATTCTCTCTCTCCCTCTCTCTTTCTTTTTTTGCTTCACACACATAAAGTATGCCATTCATTCGGAAAATATTCTCATTTCTTATTTCAATCGGTTTATCAGTGCTATAATAATACCAAAAAAGCAAATAAACCGTTTTCTTTCCCTTTCTCTCTCCCCTCTCTCTGCCTCTCCCTCTCTCTCTCTCTCTCTTTCTTAACTACCAATTTCTTCATATTGTACTGTTTATTCGTATGAAAAATCAATCAAATTTTAAAAGTAATGAAAGTAGATCAGATAATATCATTCAATTGATAGCATCAAATAATTTAAGGCAGTGTAAATAATTGAAGAGGTATGGAAATGAGAAAAAGAGAGAGAGAGAGAGAGAAAGAAAGAAGGAAATAAAGGAAAAAATATGCGCTTATGTTATTGGTCAAAAGAGCAAAATAAAAATGGAAAGGTCAAATTAGTATCATTCAAATCATTTCATCCCTTTTTTTAAATTTTCTGTAAATAAATTTTTCCAAATTTTAAGTATATGGATTTGTAAAAAATATCTTTCCCAGTAAATTTCAATTAGAAATTTTGTCAGATTATTTATGTAAATAAATATATTGTATCATATAATCGAATTATAGATTTGAAGAAAATAGTTGAATTATAAATACTTATTAAAAAAATATTTTAATAACATATTAAGTAACATTATTAAGTGATATTGATTTTATATCTTTCCTACAATGTTGAGAATTATTCTGAAACAGTTAACGATGGGAAATTATTTCTTTAAAAAAAAACAAACGGAACAATAATGATTTTACAACGATTTAATCATTAATTGCTCATTAATTGGTACAGAAAAGGTATAATTTAATTATTTGCTATAAATAATTAACTTCTAAACTTAAAATTTAATGAGTTAAATTTTTTAGTGAATTGGATTATTAAGAAATAATTTATTGGTGAGAAAAATATTTAAAAATTATATGATTACTTTCATCGTTTCGAATTTTCACATTTCTTACTGGAATTAATAAAATTTATTAAATGCTTCAAAAATTATCCATCGGCGAGTTATAAGTTTAAAACATAAGGTCAAGGAGAATCTTAACAAAAAAAAACATTGATCTGAATGGCTAAAATTGATCAGCGTGTATCAAATTAATTTTATTTTCTCATTGCACCTTTTTTTTGATAGGAATTTGATTTCATTTGCATAACCAAATGTTTCAGTTTTTTGAAAGTGAGGAAAACTGCAATGGCATGAAAGAATGTAATTAAATTTTAAAAATAAATTATTAAATATTTTCCGGATTAGGCTATTATAAATTTGAATGCTTTTTTTAGAAGTTCTTGAAAATATATGCTTTATATTAATATATGTAAGTTTTTGATTGTTTCCATGCATGTTTATCAGCGTCAAAAATGTAACGCTTTTTTTTTTTCAAAAAAAAATCAATAATGATTATGATTCATAACAGCTAAATCAAATTCGTTTTCAATTTATGAAAATTTCCTTCAAATTTCAAACATCATTAAAATGATATTAGCAAATTGTTGACGCTAATAACAACAGCCGCCGATTGATAGGAATAAATGTAAATGATGCAAATAATGGGATGACGGGCATTTTTTTGAACGATGAAACAAAGCATTTCAGGAAAATTGAAGAAATGAAGGAAAACCGGATACGATAACCTTTGAATTTTATAAAAAGTATAAATATTGCCGAGTTTTTCACTACGAATAATGCATAATGAAAAAAAAAAAAGGATAACATTGAATAAAACTGTAAAAATGTGACGATTGAATTTAGAAAAAATATTCGATAAAAAAGGTAAAAACAAATGTGATAAAAGGTTGAATTTTGAAATATATTTTGATAGGATGTAAAAAAAGTTGAAATGGGAAGAAAAATGTGACAAGGGAATTTTGAATGTTGAATAAATATTTGTTAAGAAATAAAAAAGGTCAAAATATGGAAAAAGAATTATTAGCAATTTTGCGCAATTCAAAAATTTCATGCATTAAAGGTAAATTTGAATAACACGAAGATTGCACAATTGTTGATGAAATGTGCAAATTTTTTTTTGTTAAAAAATTGTTCCTTCTTTAGTAGGTAATGATTATGAGAAATTTATGCATGAATAACTATCTTAATTTTAAATTTTGCTTAATTTGAAATTAATACGACAGGAATGTAACAATCAAATATAATAAATACAAAAAAGAAATGTAATTACAACGGAAATTGAATTGATCAAAATTCGAAACTAAGAATGAAATTGATAACTGTATTCTATTATGAGCTCTTATCGATAAATATAAGTTTCAATTTCAATTTCAATTTTTTTTGCTCATTCACATTTAGCGGTTATGAGCAGAAAAAGGTTGCAATAACTGTCATATTATGCTACAACATTTACAAGGATAAAAAATATCTCTAATATTTCAATTAATTATATTATTAAAATTTCAATTGATATTCTCAAAAATGCTCTCATTAAGATGATTTGAGAGGAAACGATGATGACCTTAAATAGAGATTGCTTATTGAGAAGGCAGCTGTAAATTCCAATTTTTACACCTGCTTCTTCTTGGAATTGACCTCCCACTGAGTTATTTCCTGTAATCTAAAAAGAAATGGCTAAATTTGATCCCTTTCTTTTTTCTTCCCCGATAATGATCTGTACATTTTTCAATTCAAAATCTGACTATCAAAATATTCAAAATTTTTAAATTTATAAATTTTAAATGAATATTGCTTGTTGCTTTATCGGCCATTTTCATTTTATTCTTTCGTTGTTTTATATTCAAATTATTAATTTCCAATCGATTAAATCATCCAAACATTTCTTTATGCAGATATTATTTTATTTTATTTAATCAGTTATTGCTCAAAATATTGTTTATTTGAAGATGAAAGAATGCTAACAAAACGGAAATTTCACAACGTAATATCATTTAACAAAAATGATTCAGCAAAGAGTATATAAAAAGAAAAGAAAAGAAAAAAAAACAGTGATAGGTCATATTTAGGTCATTCAAACAATTGATAATTGAAATTGTCATCTGCACATTTGTTCTCATTTTCTCTCATATATTTTTCATCTCTCTATCATAGATTTAAATAAAAAAGAAAAGATTCACAAAAAATAAAAATGATTAAATGTTAATTGATTTTTTAAACCACAAAATTCATCCATTTTCAAATTTCCTTCTGAAAAATCAAATTGCACAAATAAAGAAAATAATTCATAACTTTCTTTTTTTTCAAAATTATCATCAGTTTTTAATTTAAATAGTGAAATTTTGTTCAAATCACACTTCCAGTCTCATCTTTTGTCTTTTTCCTTTTTTGAGTAGTAAAAAAATTAAGTACCATTCATTTCTTGTTATTGTGCTAATATTAGAAAAGTAATTGACAAATTAAGGATTAAATAGAAATATTTAAAAAGAAGAATTTTGGAAAAATTTTTTTTCTCAATTCAAAATATTATAAATAAAGCACAATTGATAATTGTCGATTAAATTTTTTTGAGTTTACTTGAATAATTTATGAATTTTAATGAAATTTCACTAATAATTTTCAAAATAAAATAAACATAGCGAATGTTTATTGTTTCGAATTTTAATTGAAAAATTCTCTCATCCATACTTTTTTCTCAAAGATCTTAAAATTAGCTAAGTATGAATGCATATGGTATATTGCCACTCAGAAATTTGAAGACAATTGCTAAATTAATATACTCACTTAAATCATTTTATATGAAATGTACCGTTATTGGAAAAATTCAATGAGGTAAATAAAACAATGCATGATGAAAAACAGCAGCACCGAAAACGATAAAAACATCTATTACTAGCTAAAAATAAATTTTATTTTAAATAAATGTAGCTTAGAGAAATATGATAACACAGTACCATCTGTTTTTTTCCAGATTGCTTAAATTATTCGTCAAGAAATTTTTTAAAAACAAATATTCTCGACCATAATATGACACAAGCTGGGATTCCCGATCTTTTGAAAAAAAAAAAAACATATATTGCTAATTTATTGTTAACACCATGTTGTATGCCTGCATATCTCAATTTCGGACGGATAATTACGCTCGAAGTATTCACCATTTACAAACATTGCTGGCCATAATTTAATTCCTGTAAATTATTTAGCGAAAATTTGCATAATTTAAATTTTGGCTGTTTACAGACATTGATTATTTGAAATTTCAAAAATTTTCTCGATGCTTACCTGCTCGATGAGTATTCAACATTGAATAATAATTCAGCGTCTCGCCAGTTTGTGTTGTGGCACATTCAATTAATCGATATTGAGTATATTCTGTAAGGCCTGTTAAGCATCGTGAAAATGCTTCATAAATATTAGACAGGCCTTGAACGCACGTTACTAGGCCTAAGTAGTGCCGAGGAAAGAACTGAAATAATTTCATAATTGTTGGTTATTGATTGATTATGAAATACATTTGTAAACTATTTCATGCGATTCTTGCTGAATTCTCATAATCTACAAGCATTTGCTAATATTGATTATTGCATTAAAAAAAATTGCAACCCGTTTAATTGTTCCTGAAATTAACGAATGAATGGATTGTTAGCGTAGCTAGATCATACGGAAAAAGCTTTCCTTTAATAAATCCCAAATGCAAAATTGAATTCAATATACTTTATCACTTCTTCTCTTTTATTTACATGCTTATCACTTTATCTGTTAATTATAACTTTCTAATTTGATAATAATTCCATAAAATTCCCATTAACCTATCCTTTCATTTTCTCAATCCATTAATTTCACTTCTTAATTTTAATTTAAAGAAAAAAAAGAAAACAAAGGAAACTAACAGCAATAGCGCAATTTTGCAATCTATTCAAATCACATTCATCTTGCTCATGTTGACAGTGACAAAAAAATGTTTGATTGGAAAAATGATCACAATAACCTTTACCAAATGGTATTATCTGAATGAAACAATATTCACCTGAATTAAATTATTATCAATCTATAAATTTACATTGAAAGAAAAAAGCATTCCTTATTTTATAGGTAATATCATACCTGTTAATTCTCTAAATTCTCACTTATACATTTAAATTATCAAATCGAATGCGCAACAAAAACGATAAAAGGAAAAGAGAAAAGAGGAAATTTTAAATTACACCTGTATATTCATTATACCAGGTCGTTCCACATAAAATGGCCAAATTTGCTCACGCAATAATTTTGTACAATATTTACATTTTGATTCCGTGAATATTGTCACGTTAACTTGTTGCGCTCGAACTGTTTGATGGCATATGGAGTATAAGATCGATAATAATAGCATTTCTTTTACTATCATTCTAAAATTTTGATATTTTTGATGCGATATTGATGAAAATATTCAATGTTTTTATTTATAGTGTACACGTGTCATACGTCGTACACATACGTCAACAATCTCTCTCTTTTTTGTTCTTTTAAATATTTTTTTTTTAAAGATATAAGATTGCTTTTTATTTAACAGTTTATGAATGAGTGTTCTGTTAACGGTAAAATATTTCTAACAATCGATCAATTGCAAATTATTATTGTTTTTTGAATTTAAAAAAAAATTTATAATTTCATGAAAGATTTGAATTTTTTTTTTGTTTGTTTGTTAAGAAAGCATTCAAAATTTTTTCTAATTTTTTTTTGCTTTTTATTTTAGAAGCAGAAAGACGAAGAATTTTCTTTGATTTGGCATTTTCTCATTTCTTCTAGGCGGAAATAATTGAAAAAAATTTGAAACAAAAATTTAAAAAAAAAAAAACTATTATTCATCGAGATTCAAAAGAAATGAAAAAAATTTCCATCAAAATATCTTTCAATCATTTTAATCATTTTTTCTCCTCATTAAAACTGAAGAAAAATTTAAAAAATTTTAAATTTCATAAAACTATCAATGTTATATTATAGGAATTGACTTTTACAAAACATCGGCAGCAGTTATATTATTGGCTATTATTTTCATTTTAATTATTTAAATGGACTAAAAGTGGCTCATTCTTTTTCGGCGATAGGATGAAAAATTGCGAAGTCATATCTATTAATGCTGCTTCTATTTTCTAAAACTTAACAAACAAGTTTCGAAAAGTGTTACATTCATTATTATATGTATCAAATGTTAAATTCCCGCATCATCACGGAGATTTACACTTATCAAATTAACAAATCTGCAATAAATCAATTTATTCGAAGCATTTAATACCTATCAAATAATTCATGCGTTTGATATTATTTTATCAGATGTCAAGATAATATTTTCATTTGTACTATCATTCAATCAATGGTATTTCGTTGCAAACAAAAGCGTTCAAAATTAGCATCCTTTATAAAACGGTACAAATATCAGGTAAGATAGGAACTGAATAACCAGTTTTATAAGAGAATCATGTTTGTTGAATGAATGATTAGCTGCCAATAAAACGATTACAAACAATAATTGATAATAATTAATCGCAGGAGGGATTTGTTTAACTGGACCAGTCCTTCTCTCTGTGTGACATTTTGCACTAAAAACTTCCATAAGAAAATTTGAAATTTCCAAAATTCAATGACAAAAGTGTATTTTCAGCAAAACTAGTCAGCAATATTTAGCGATTTAAGCGCAGTTGACAATTTACACTTTTTGAAAGACCAGTTGCAGTGATAGACTAACTAAAACAGTTCTACCTCACATTCACTAAGACTGACAATATAAATTAAAAATTTTTAAATTATTGCATTGAAAAGAATGAAAAATAACTGTACTGCTTAGTGTGCGCTATTTTTTCAAGTTCATTACGACAAATAAAATAAAAATATAATCCATATAAAATTTTGCTTTAGTAACTTTGATTATTTTTTAATAAAATTTCAATGAATGCAACATTTTAAATCATCATATTGTGATGATTTAATAATTTATTTATGTACGGTAAACATTTATTAAAATAACTTACATTTTTAAGTTTCATTTATGATGTACGAAAAAATTTTCATTCTGACGAATCTTTCAAAATTAACAAGACAGTAATTTTTGTAAATACTTACCGTATATAAATAAATTCTTAATTGTCGCAATACGATAATTTAAAATGTGCATTCACTGAAGTTTTGTTAAAAAACACTAAAATTTCAAAGAATTAAGAACTCTGAAAAAAAAAAAACATTTACAATAATACACAAATTATATGAAAAGAGAAAAAATATCATCCCTTAAATAAATTTTGAGTGAATTTCGAAGAGCTCTTCAAAAAATTTTACTTCAATTAAATTTTTTTTTTGCTTTTAAAAAATCTTGGTAGTTTACTGCAAAAAAAACAGTTGAGAAAATTATTTATAGATAAACAATTCTTTTTTCCATATATTTATAGGTCAAGCTGTCACTGATTTTTTTTGTTTTAAAAAAAATTCAATAATTTATTGCAAAAAAAGGATTCATTAGTCATTTTGATAAAATGATAAGTGATGATAGGAAATGATATAAGATATGAGGTCGGAGTTATGAGTGGAATAAGATTAAGAGGAAAAATTGGAAGTATCGATTTTGCAATTCAGCGATGTTGAAAATATTTTAGAATTCAGTAATCACTCTGATATCATTAATAAATGATTTTTTTTAGAAATTATAGAAAAGCGAAATTTTACAAATTAACGTTTAAAAAATGGATAACAGTGATTATTGAAGTGATTTTCACCGAACTTCTTTTACTAACCTAAATGTTTGAAGAAATTTTATTTTCTCAGTGTAAAATACGATAAAAGAAGTGAACAAAAAAGTAAATGAAATGACCTGGTTTTTGATTCTTTTACTACTGATTTTTACCATTTCGAAAAACTTCAATTTCATTTCAATCGCCAGATTTTTTCGAAACAAAAAAATTACTGATATGAAGATGTCAGTTTCCCCTATTATCACACTTCAATTTAATATGTGATAAATGAGTCAATGATATCCGCAAATGTTTATCTTTGAAGATGTGAGTCTTTAATTTGTATGAGCTTAATTTATTAGCTCAGTATTGGCTTAATTCATTAAATTTATGAGCGGCAGTGATGGAGAAAAAAATTGTTTCTGTAAAATATCATCTAAAAAAACAAATTTGCTTCTTTTATTTTTTTGTGAAAAATTAAATTTGTGATAATAAAAAGATATAGTACAAAAATAGTTGGCTAAAAAGAAAATGTGAAATAATTTAAGCAAAAATGCAAATTCAAAATCACTATCAATTAAGTGATCGGTCTGTAAAACCAAAAAATTAGATTGTTATTTCAATTCCTTTTTGAATAAAAATGAAGAGCAAATTTAATGAAAAATAAATTCAATTGGATGAAAAAACGGAAGATAATAATCAAAGACAAATTTCCATGATTTTAATCACTTGATAAAATTTAAAATAAAACATTTGATAAATTAAATAAATAAGGAGTTATTAAAGTGTAATGATTTCGCAAGGATTTAAGATTAAATATCAAAATACATTTAATTGAATTCAATTGTTTCTTTATACATTCGATTGTAAAAACTTTGTTTATAAATATTCGCTTCAAATGGTAGCGAAAAATTATGCTTTAATTACTGCGTTATTTGTTTGTTTATTTATTTTCCTGCTTATTCGTTTGTTTGCATTTTTGTTTGCATATTTGCTATTCACGGCTCTGACAATTATATTGATTGTTGATGAAAATGAAATGAGGATTTATTGTTGGAATTCGTTAGCACTAATTTAAATGATTGTTACTCTGTATTGGATAAGCAATATGGTTTAGATCAACAGATCATAGAAAAAGATAGGAAAATTTCTTGCTTACAAATACTTTTTTATGCAAATACCGCAAGGGGCTTGTTCAGAATTCATCTACTTTAACTCAAATAGACAGTGATAATTAATGAAATCAATGTTTTTTATAGACAATTATTAAATGCTTAATTTAGTAATTATGGCTCGTTGAAAATAATTCATTTCAAGTGCCAAGCTCGAAATAACCATAATCAGTTGAAAAAAAAAACTTGAATTTGTCACTTGAACATTTCACTGTCTAATTATTCACATTTTCTAGTATTTTATTAATTACAATAACGAATTCAATTCTTCATCTACTGTTAACTGCATAAATTACACTCACTTCTTCCATTTTCTATATCAATATTCAATTTATTGAGTTTACAATTTATTGAGTTTACAATCTATCCACACACACAAATAATTTGATGACAGATGTTCGTTTATGCTTACTTCATAGAGTAACTAGAAATGATTAACAAGATGTTTTAAGCAAATAATTCATGAAAATTATGGCGTATGTATGTTCTATGATTTTCGAGCAGAACGTGAAAACGTTATTCATTCGATGAAATTTAGAGGAATGATCGATTGCAAATTTAAATAATTGTTGAAATTAAATGAAAATAAAATAAACTAAAATGGGACTTTTTATGCTACCGCTCATAATTGTCGGAATAACCGATCTTAATTAGTTATTCCCATAATTTCAAATAATTATATCACTGAACAAAATTTTTCAAATTTAAATTACTCAACAAAACCTTTACCACTTAGAAAATAGGAATAAATCGTTTTGTTTCCTAAAATGAAGTATCTCTTCCTTAAATTGAAATCTCTAAATTTATACAAGGAAAAAAAAAGAAAGAAGTACTAAAAAGTGGTTGGTTGATTGCTTAGCAATAAGATAGTTGAACAAATAAGCACCGACCCTTTGACAGGGGTGGATATGAACGGTTTGTTTCGTTGAAATCTGGTTTTTCTCCCCTGAAGAATGTTGCTTCAGGCATCAAAGAATCGCGGGAACATGCGAATTGATGAATTCAGCAAAAAATCCTATTGGTTACTTTTGTTTTTTTTTTGTTGCTGTTGCTATTTGAATGCTGTCAATTTATTAGCTTCCATTAAAGAGAAGAAATTCAAACCAATTGGTCAGTCTCTTTGTTTCTTTTTTCTTTAATTAGAAATGAAATGAATTAAAAAAGGCTTGCTCTTATTTTTCAAACTTGTTTCTGCTTTTTTTTTGAGCTAAATGAACTCATAATGTATATTATAGCTGAGTGATACTTTTTGCAATGATTTATTTTTTGCTAAAATGTATATTCGATAGAATTAAAAATTGCTAT